TGTGATGGGTCAAATAGGAAGAAAAGGAAGCTGTGTGAGCATGGGCCTAATATTCATTGGCACAGAAGGCCTCATTTATGGTTACATAACGTGAGCATGGGCTACGTCCGAGTAAGACAAGGCAATTCATTTACTTCCGGTCCATTTGAGATTGGGTAATCTGATCAAATTATGAGAGTGTTGTTATTTCCACCAACTATTCTACTTTCTCCACCCACCTTAGGTTTTCACATTCCACTCAATTTTTACTCCTAAAATGCCCCCAATATTTTGATCAAATTGACATTAATCTCATGGTTCGGTCCACGCGACTGTATAACTAAACTATTGCACCTCTTAATTTTCTCATTAATATGGCCATTGTTATTATAGAATTTTGTGAAAGCTCTTTTTTTTAACTTTTTTTTAAATTTTATAATATTAAATGAATTTTTATTTTATTTTAAATACAAGCGAAATTAAAGGCGGGGAAATCGAATATGAAACCTTAGATACAGGGATAACAAAAATTCACTCATTTTAGATATATGGCGACATGACATAAATAATTTTTTGAAAACGTAGACATGTTTGCATAATTTTAATAATGTTAAGAAAGTTATGGTTAAACTTAAATGTAAGAAAATAAAGTTGATCCGAGATCAATTTATCCCAAAAAAGAAGGAAAAATGGACCAAAGGTCCAAGGCCTTTTTTGATCGTTTATCAACATTTGGTTCACGGAATGAATTTGAGTGGAAATAATTTCCCATATGGGAAATGGAAGATACATTTCTCACGTTTGGTAATGAAGAGAAAGTAACGGGGAGATATTGCTTTATTTTATTTCCCATGTTTGTTTTGAGTAGGAATGGAAACCAAAATTTTTATAATTTTCTAATTATACCCATACTATATCAAATAAAAAAAGAAAGCATTTAATGATATATTGTAATTTCAAATTGTTAATAGGGACAAAATGGTCATGAAAAATGTGCATTTAATGTTGGCTCATTTTCCCAAACTTTCCCATGAGGAGGGAAAACAAAACCTAAGTTTTTGGAGGAGGGCTTTATTTTGCCCCTACTTTCCCATGTGACAGGCAATCATTTTCTATGTCTGGACTTACCAAATATGTGAAAGCAATTAATTTTCCATCCCCAAGTCTCATTTCCTATGAACCAAACGGCTGTGACCATGGTTGCAAAGACCAATAGACCAAACTCCAAAGAGAGCTGCAGTCACAATCCTGGAATGAAGTGCCAGTGCAGCAGCACCAGTAGTAGCAGTAGCGGCGTTGATGCGAAGTCAGTGTTTTCACTCACCTCGTCAAGCAAGTACGAAGATTATATGGGAGAGAAAACCAAAGGGGATTTGAATGTCAAGGTGGAGCATCTTGAGGCCTTTGGTAACTTTCTTTCCTCTCCAATGCTCTATTTCGTTCTTTCAGTTTTGAAACTACAACCATATATATGTGCGTGTGTAAAGTTTTGTTCTTTTCAATGAACCCATGTAGGAATTGATAGTCAAGCAACTTTAAAAGGTCCAATGGAGGAAGTAGCCAGGGTTGAGGCTGAAGAAGCTGAAGACTTGCTCAGAGACTTGGGTATCCCGGTGCTGTTTTTTAATTCCTTTTCCTGCATACATTTGGTCCTATATATGCCTTACCACATCTCTTTGCTTTCTTATCTTTTTCTTTAATATATGGTTCTCTTGAATCTTGAACCAATAAATATCCCTCTTATCATTTTCTTATGGTATTACCATGTTCAATATTTATGTGCAGACTCCTTTTTCGTCAAGACAATCACCTCGTGGCATTTTTTGTAGCCGCACGTTGAATCTTCAATCAATCAGTGCCATTGGATATGATATGGACTACACCTTGATCCATTATAATGTGATTGTAAGTGTCATCAGCTTAATATGTGTTCTTATTCCAAGCATTAGTTGGCACGTCAGCTTTGATGCAACATCAAGATCATATAGTTTTTGCATGTGCAAGTGACCAGTGTTGCAACCTCAATGCATTAGTAACCATTACTATTCTGGCTATTGTCTGACATGGATTTGTATTTGCAGGCTTGGGAAGGGAGAGCTTATGATTACTGTATGGAGAATTTGAAGAAAGTGGGTTTCCCTGTTGACGGTCTTGCGTTTGACCCTGACTTGGTAGCATCTATAAGCAAGTTAAAAGGTTTTTGAGTATTTACATTTAAGCAAGTCATAAGATCTAATTTTCGTTTTTCCTTCCTACCTTTGTTCCACCCTTTCCCATAGGTTATTAGAGGCCTTGTCATAGACAAAGAGAAAGGCAACTTAGTGAAGGCTGATCGATTTGGTTATGTAAGGAGGGCTATGCATGGCACGAAGATGCTATCTAATCGAGCTGTAAGGTACACTATGAAGCTTTTATTTTGATTAGTCTCATAGTGCAAATGCAAAGCAGGCATTCATTGTGCTGTTAAAACATTAGCAATAAGACTTCCTACGAAAGTTCCTATTATCAGGTTTATTACTCTGGTCTTCCCTTGTATTATAACTTTGTGTATGTAGCGCTTAGGTTCTTCCAACATTTTGCACTTTAGCATATCATTTTTGGGAAAAGATGGAATCATATATTCTATAGTGTGGCTTTACTTTTTACTCATTGCAGTGAGATGTACGGGAGGGAACTGGTGGACCTCCGGAAGGAAAGTCGATGGGAATTCCTAAATACACTGTTCTCCGTCTCAGAAGCTGTCGCTTATATGCAGGTACCGTATTGTCTTAGCCAGAGCACTGTTTTAACTTCTGACTCATTTTATTGCTATTATTTTTGTGGATTTAGTTTATTCATATGCAGACATTGACTCATGATTCTTTTCAGATGGTTGACAGATTGGATGGTGGAGCCATAGCAGCACAACTTGGTCCACTTGATTATGAGGGGCTCTATAAGGCAATATGTTGTGCCTCAATTTTATAGAGCTTGGTATTGGTTTTTTCTTGCTCCTTTTTAACTATTGACATGATTTCAGGCTGTTGGAAGAGCCCTCATCAGGGCACATGTAGAGGGTCAACTAAAGGTTAATATATTTATGATTTGTATATTAGATATGTAAGAATTGGTTCATGAGCATGAAGTGATTGTGGTATATATGCAGAGTGAGATAATGTCTAAGCCTGAACTATTTGTGACACCTGATCCAGAATTACCCCTAGCACTTTTGGATCAAAAGGAGGTATGTCTTATAGAAATTTATCGTTCAGTAGTGTGTGACATTATTTAACTCCTTATTTACTTCTTTGACCTATTCGTGCATTAGGCTGGTAAAAAGCTTCTGCTCATTACCAACTCAGATTATCATTACACAGACAAAATGATGCAGCATTCCTTCAACAGATTTCTTCCCAATGATATGGGTTGGCGAGATTTATTTGACATTGTAAGTAAACGTCGTTTGTTTACTTATAACTTCGTGCCACATTGAATAGTAATTATTTTATAGGACCTCTGCTATAAAAGTCTCAGGATCATTCTTTCCTGGGTGATGCTTAAACCAGCAGCATAATTTTATCACAGACCAGTTTTCTTGTGTGTGTGTGTGTTTAACAATCAAAGATTGCCTTCAAACTTAATGATCATTAGAATTGTGACCGCATCAACAGCAGTGAGTCATGGTTTTTTGGTCTATCACGCTCATTTTCAGGTAGTAGTCACCGCAAGGAAGCCAGAGTTCTTCCAAATGTCACACCCTATGTATGAGGTGGTGACAGGAGAGGGCCTCATGCGTCCATGCTTCAAGGCTAAAACAGGTGATGAAGACTAATGTTCAGTACTTGTGCTTCTTTAGCCTTGAAATTCTTGTATTTTTAAGGCAAAATACAGTGAAGTTGTTAATTTAATGTGCTCTGTGGTGTGAAATTGATTGTTATTAGCTAAATACAGTGAAGTTTGGATGTCACCTGGTTGCACATTAGCTAAATAATCATGTTTGATAAATGATTGTTATTGTGACAGTAATTAAATAAATAACTAAGTTGTTAAGTTGGTCAAATCTCTGCTGTTTTTGTTCTCAGTCAACATCATTTTTACTTTTCAATATATTAAATTCCTCTGGGCTTTGTATGGATCATATTATTTGATAATTCTTTACTTTGTTGGCATTGGTTTTATTTAACAATCTCATGCTCATTCAAATTCTTCTTCTTGCAGGAGGATTGTATTCTGGGGGAAATGCTCAGATGGTTGAGAATTCCCTAAATATTCATGGAGATGAAATACTGTATGTTGGTGATCATATCTACACTGATGTAAGTCAATCCAAAGTTCATCTGCGATGGAGGACGGCATTAATTTGTCGAGAATTGGAAGAAGAGGTTTGTGTAGTTGATTTTCTCTTTACATGCAAGAGCACAGAAGAGAAAGTGCAATTAACATGTTTCTGGAACTTGAGATCTCACTATCTGTAGAAAATATATTTCCTTGTATTAAACAAATTACACAGTCCCTATTTATACTGATACATGATATCTACTTAAGGTAGGAAGGAAATAATATAGACATGAATACAATTCGATTTATAGCAAGAAAGGCTAATTGCTAGGAGGAAATTGTGAAGTTGACTTCCGTGTGTGCTAGGAAAGGAAAGCTGCGTTAACACCTCACCCGCCAGTGCGCAAACTGGGCATCATAGGATGCACAAGTTTGGAAGATGCATGTTGATGGCGTGGTTTGTGAAGGGCTTTGGTAAACAGGTCCGCAGGTTGGTCAATAGAAGGAACAAAACAAACTTGATGACTTCCAAGAACAACCTTTTCACAGACAAAGTGATAGTCCAACTCAATGTGATGTGTGCGGGCATGGAAAACTGGATTGACAGCCATGTACATTGTGCTGAGATTATCACAAAAGAGTTGGACTGGGAACCGAAGACACACACCCAATTCATGAAGAAGACAGTAGAGCCAAGTGGTTTCGGCACAAGCATGAGAGAGGGCATGATATTCTGATTCTGTACTAGAGCGCGAGATTGTGGGCTATTTCTTGGAACACCATGAAATGAGGTTAGTTCCAAGAGTAATCACATATCTAGTGGTCGACCGACAAGAATCAGGGCATCCAGCCCAGTCTGCATCAGAGTAGGCTGGGAGGCGAGCTGCGGCAGTTTGAGGAGTGAAGGTGAGGATGAAATCAATAGTGCCCTTGATGTACCCAAGCATCCGTTTGTCGGTAACAAGGTGAGGGGTACGAGAGGCACTCATGAATTAACCAACAATGTTGATGGAAAAAGATATGTCAGGGCGAGTAAGAGTGAAATATTGTAACTGCCAACAAGCTCGCAATACTCGGTTGGGTTGGAGATAAGAGCACCATCACAAACATAGAGGAGAACCTTGGCAGCAATGGAGTATATGCGGGTTTGGAATTGAGAAGATTGGCTTTTTGTAAAAGTTCATGTGCATATTTGAGTTGATTGATATGGAGAGTACCATCCTTATGAAGAACCTGTAAACCCAAGAAATAGCTAAGCGGACCAAGGTCTTTGCTGTCAAAGTGGCCACCTAAAAGAAAGATGAATTGTTGGAGATGAGTGGAATCACTGCCAGTTACCACGATGTTGTTGACATATAGAAGAAGAAAGATGGTATGGGAGGCCTATTGAAAAATAAATAATGAAGTGTCAGCTTGGCTCCGTGTAAAGCCCATAGAGAGAAAGAAAGTACTGATGCGATGGAACCAAGCACAAGGTGCTTGTTTGAGGCCATAAAGTTCTTTATGGAGCTTGCAAACATAAGATTGACGATCAATGAAACTAGGGAGTTGAGCCATGTAGACATCTTCTTGAAGAAACCCATGAAGAAAGGCATTTTTGACATCAAGCTGACAAATGGACCAACCACGAGAAACTGCAAGACTGAGAATAGTGCAAATGGTGGCAGGGTTGACAACAAGACTGAAGGTTTCAGCATAGTCTATGCCCGGACGTTGATGAAAACCCTTGGCCACTAGACGAGCTTTGTAACGTTCAATGGAGCCGTCAGAGTGACACTTAATCCGAAAAACCCACTTGCTACCAAGTTCTGAGAATGAGAGGAAGGAACCAAAGACCATATATGATTTTTGAGAAGTGCATTGATCTCTCCAGTAATGGCGTCAAGCCATTCAAGATGCTTAGTGGCCTGTGAAAAACAAGTAGGTTCAATATGATCAACAACAGTTAATAAGGCATGGGGAATGAGGTATTTAATAGTGTCATCGGTATGAAGCTTGGGCTTTTGAATGCCATCCTGAAGGCAAGTGCGCATGCGAGGAATAGGGGCAAGAGTGGGAGATTGCAGAGCTGCTGGAACTGGGGGGTTCGGAGCTATGGGAACAGGGGCAGGCATAAGCTGAGAAAGGTGTATGCGAGGGTGTCGGGAATAAGTTTGGAGCAATGGCTAGGTTGACGCGGAAGAAGTGTGATGGAGTGGACTATAAGGTATGGCAGGGCCGGGGTCATGGCTTATGACTGCAGCAGCTGGAAAGGTGCGCACTAGGGAGGTGTTGTGAGTTTACGAGTCTGAGTCTGGGGCATGAGTGATATATTCGGGCCCAGGTGCGAAGGAGGGCAGCTTTGACCCAGAGATTGTGGGGAGTATGAGAAGTGGTAAGGAGGGTACGGATCATGGTGGCAATGTGTTTATGTTTGCGTCCAACTAGGCCATTTTTTTTGGGAGTGGGGGGACATGAGAACCGTTAGTGGATGCCTAGTTGACTGCAAAGATCAGAGAAAGCATTATTAACATATTCAGCACCATTGTCACTTTGAAGGATTTGCAAAATGGTGTGAAATTGATTTTTAACCATGGCAAGAAAGGTTTGAAAGTAAGAAAATGCCTCATTTTTACGGTGCATAGGATAAATCCAGGAGTAACTGGAAAAGTCATATGTAAACAAGACATAATAGCGATAACTAGGGATAGAAATGACCGGGGACATCCATACATCATAGTGAATGAAATAAAAGGGAGATGAGGCAAAAGTTTTATTACTAATAAAGGATAGTTTGGTGGATTTGCTAAGTGCACAATTCTTACAGAAAGCATGAGAGACTTTAAAGCCTAGAGATGGCGCTAAGTGAGAGAGCACAAGATGGGATGGATGACCAATACGACGATGCCAAGTAGGAGAGTGCAAGGTGGTAAGGGCACGGGGGGCGGTGGATGAGTGAGATGAGAAGAAAAGTGGGTAAAGACCATCTTTAGAAGGCCCTTGAAAGAGTAACGAACCAGTACGTAAGTCATAGATTTGATTAAAGTCTGGAGTAAAGACAAAGAAAACTAAATTATCACGAGTAAAACGGGACACAGAAAGAGGATTAGTATGAAGAGTGGGAAGATAAAAGACATTTTGAAGAGAAAATTTATGAGAACCTAAAGGAAGAGGAAGAGAGCCAGTATGAGAGATAAAGAGAGAATCTCCATTACCAAGAAATACAGAATTATTACCCTGATATGGCTGTTGATTTTGGAGATTAGAAGGACTACCAGTCATGTGATGAGTGGCACCTGTGTCAGAGTACCAAGTGGAGTCAGGTGGCTACATGAATTGAGCCCCAGCAAATGAAGGATATGATTTTGGGTCATTGTAGCGATGAGGACATCTTGCAGTAGTATGTTGATTGGTATTGCAGGTGGTGCACCAAGCGAGTCCCAAAACACCAAGAGCTAAGTTGGTTTGGGTAGTGTGTTTGCTAGAAGCAGCAAATTGGGCCCAAGGGGGCTGAAAGAAAGGTCAGTTACTTTGAGGTCCAGAATTTGGAGCAAAAGGAGGGCACAGTTGATTAGGCCATCGGGGCTGCGGGGAGCCATTCCATGGGTTGCTCCAGGAAGGTGAGAAGTTGTGTCAGCCACCACGGCCACCATGCCTGTTGCTGGAGGACCCACCACCACAGTGAGAATTAAAGGAAGTATGACCAATGCTGTGAGGAGAAGATTGGGTGGCCATTAGCGCTGTGTTTTGATCAGGAGAGATTCGAGGAGCCTGTGCGTCGAAAGCTAACAAACGAGCACGAAAATAAGCAAAGTCAGGAAGCGGAGGAAAATTGAGAATTGTTGTGACGAGCATTTTGTAATTGGGTCCTAAACGTTGGAGCACAGCAATGACAAGTTCTTTTGGGGAGACAGGTTCATTGATGGCAGCCAATGAATCGGCAAAGGACTTAGCATGATGAAGGTAAGCATCAATGGGTTGAGAGCCTTTTTGCATATCCATGAGTTGAAAACGAAAGCAGATTCACTGACCATACTAGATTGAGAGAAGTGGCGTTGGAGACACTCCCAAAGATCCTGGGTAGAGGTGCAGCCGACGGTGAGAGAGAGAATGGACTCAGAGAGTGTACTAGTGATGTAGCTAACAATGAGTTGGTCTTGTTGGTACCACTGAGCATGGGTGGGATTGGTTCGGGTAAGAGTGGAGGTGGTGGTTGTTGGTGTTGCGGTCGTAGAAGTGGAGGTTTGGGCAGAAGTTTGTTTATGAGTGCCATCGATAAATTTCTAGAGGTCATGATGGGCTAAAAAAATTTTGAGTTGACGGAGCCAAAGGAGATGGTTGGAGTCAGTAAGCTTGATAAAATGAGAAGAGTTGGGGCTAGGGAGGGAGATGGTGGATTCAGAAGAAGCCATGAGGTGGACCTAAAAGAGAGGATTGGAATGAATAAGGGAGAGGGAGGAAGCCCTAGGTTAGGCTGATACCATGTAGAAAATATATTTCCTTGTATTAAACAGATTACACAAAGTCTCTATTTATACTGATACAGAATATCTACTTAAGGTATGAAATAATATAGACATAAATACAATCCAATTTACAGCAGGAAAAGCTAATTGCTAGGAGGAGATTGTGAAGTTAACTTCTGTATGTGCTAGGAAAGGAAAGCTACGTTAACACTATCATCGAAGAATTGAAAATTTTGGCATGATTAATAATATACTGACTAGAAAAAACACTTTGAGACAAGAAATGGAACCCAAAGAACCTGCTTGCCAGTTTCCTTATATAAATATTCTATTGTTCAACAGACCAAACACCTATGGACTATAATTTTTAATTTGGTGTCCTAGCAATTGAGAGATTTAATATCCTCGAACTGTTAAATGCTGATTAGGTCTCCATTTGTTTCGTGAAATTTTGAGGCTGCAGTTTAGTGCTTTGATTCATAGCCGGGGTCATAGAGCATCACTGGTAGAGCTTATAAATCAAAAGGAGGTCGTAGGGGATCTTTTCAACCAACTTCGGCTAGCCTCGCAAAGGCGAACTAAAGGACGCCCTGCTCAAGTAAGCTTCATCCATCACTGAATTCTTGTAATGTATAGTGATAATATCTCAATATATTTTTCATATCTCCACTTTTTTATGCTTGTATCTGTATCCTTGAGCATTAAACAATTACTGCTTTAATTAACAAATATTGTCTACTCACCGTTGCATGTATTTGAGTATAGAAGTCAAGATGATCTGGTTATCATTTGAACATTTCTATACTAATAGATAAATGCAACTCTTAATTCTGGTGTTACCTCTGAACTGAATCCATGCTACATTTTCTTTTTCCCATTAAGCATCACCACCCTCAGCAAACAGTATGAACTCCTAATCCAAGAGTGTGGACCAAGAGATGATAGAACTGGAAATATAAATAAAAAAATGGTTTACATAATGTAGTGCTTCTTAATTTTATCTGAACTTTTCTGCACTTTCAGACCCTTGCTGCAACAAACTTGGATGATCAAGAACTCTCAGAAAGCATGCAAAAGCTACTTATAGTTATGCAAAGACTGGACCAGAAAATTGCTCCAATGCTAGAAGCAGATGGAGAGCTCTTCAACAAAAGGTAAGATGGGGTTAGGAAACATACGGAATTGATTATTTTTATTACTAGTGTATATCTGTGGAAAATGTTTCAGTCATAAATATACAGTTGACCTCTTGAACCTGCTGTGCATTAGGTGGGGATTTCTTTCCCGTGCAGGGTTGTGGGATAAAAGCCATTTGATGAGACAAATTGAGAAGTATGTTCTTTTTTTCGAAGTTCATATTTCATTCATCACAGAACTCTGGTTCACGTCTGTGACAGAAATAAAAATTTATATTTTGAGTGTCCTTAACAATGATTCTCTCAATTCTTTTTCATCTTACAGGTATGCCGATATATATACCTCCAGGGTGTCAAATTTCTTGCATTATACACCTTTCATGTATTTCCGCTCACAGGAACAGGTAACTACTAAACACCAAAGCTTAAATTGTTAAGGAATGCCAACATTGTCATCTTCACGCACAACCCTGCACATTGAAAGGCAGACCGTATAAATTACCAAATGAGTAGAGAATGAGGATTTGAGATTTCGAACTTAGGACCTCTTGTAACCAAAACTCTGATACTGTGAGGTAACAATGTGAAAAAGAGCACAAGACTACAATATTAATGAACATGCAAATAAGCAAGCAATACATGACTATTTTACAACCCTCAACTTTTTGAAAGAGCACTTATATGCATTATGCCTTTTACCACTGCAGACGCTTGCTCATGATTCGTACTCATACTACTGTTCAAGGTTTAATGGGTCTGCCGTGGATGACGAGGTCGACTTTATGTTGTAGAAGTGCATTCTTGGCTGTAAATATTGCTCAAGTTGACCATGTTGACCATGCTAAGTATCTTGACTCCATTGTTGTTCTGTCTGAATGATCCAGGCACTTTACAATTTTCAAGGTTATAACGTTGGAATGTTTTGCATGTATAAATCATTTATTTTCTAGTAAAAATACATCTAGAAACCATACACAGCAACTTTGTTTTGGGAATTTCTAATAAAGCATTTCCTTCCTGCCTTTGTTCCATCCTTTCCCAAAGCATTTATTAGAAAAGCAACTTAGTGAAGGCTGATCGATTTTGTTATGTAAAGAGGGCTATGCATGGCACAAAGATACTTTCATAGGAAGCATTAGCAATAAGACTTCCTATGAAAGTTCCTATTATCAGATTTATTACTCTGGTCTTCCCTTGTATTATAACTTTGTGTATGTGGCACTTAGGTTCTTCCAACATTTTGCACTTTTGCATATCATTTTTGGTTACGTGGAGAGGCCTATGCATGGCACGAAGATGCTATCTAATTGTTTGATTCGGTCCCGCCATGGATGAATTGAATTAAAATCTAACTGAAGACAGCGAATTTAAATTCAAATACAAATTGAAGTTGGATTGGGAAGAAGGAATTGGGGATTTTATTAAAAATGACCATTGGCCAGCTCACTGGAAGACAATTCCTTATGCACCTTTACTTATCATTTTCTGAGGAGATGAGGCCCCGACCCCTTCAATATTTAAAGATGTAAAACGCATGAAATTGAATGAGCCCTTCAAGTGGAGCTTACAAGAACGAAATATAATAAATAAATAAAAAGATCTATTCCTATTGGTAGTTTACCTCTCTGAATAAAATTACATTACATACTTTCTTTTTCTTTGGATAAAAAGAATATAAAAGCTATCTAAGATGAGGCACTTGAATGCAATGCTACCAAAGAAGCATAAATGCCATCCTTGATACCGATCAAAGTTTCGTGCTTTCCTTTCTCGGCAATGACTCCATTTTTCACCACTGCGATTACATCCGCACCCTTTATTGTGGATAACCGATGGGCAACCACGATTGTGGTTCGATCCACCATGATTCGGTCCAATGCATCTTGAACCACTCGTTCCGATTCAGCATCAAGAGCACTTGTGGCTTCATCTAGTAGTAGTATCTTTGGTGCCTTCATTATAGCTCGTGCAATTGCCACCCTTTGCTTCTGTCCACCAGACAATTGAATACCCCGCTCTCCTACTATTGTATCATAACCCTGCATTGTTTTTCCAAACTTAACATGGTTAATCTTCAACGTTCCGAATAAAATTCTGTGAATTTTTATGAACTAGTCCTTCTCGTTTATGCAGCACCATGGCAATAGACTATATTATAGTATTTCTGGCCAAAAGAAATTGACAAGCTTGTTAATTTTGTAGTGCCTACCTGTTGTAAACTACTGATGAACTTGTGAGCATTTGCCAATTCTGCTGCAGCTATAATTTCAGCCTCTGTTGCATTCCCTTCCTTTCCATATGCAATGTTGGCTCTGATAGTGTCATTAAACAATACAGGCTCCTGGCTCACCAGTCCCATTTGCTGTCTCAACCACTTGAGCTGTAGCTTTTGGATTTCAACTCCATCTAATGTAATGTGACCCGAATCAGGGTCATAAAATCTCTGCAACAGTGAGACGACTGTCGATTTCCCACTTCCACTTTCTCCAACCAAAGCAACTGTCTGAATAACATAATACAAATTTGTAAATCCCAGAAACTTGAATTAGACTACGAGGTTCAAATTTTGTGCTTTGTTTGAAATGAGTAAAAGAACAAAACATGTTACTAACTTACCTTGCCATGATGAATGGTCAGGCAAAGATCCTGGAAGACTGGCACGTCAGGTCTAGTTGGATACTTGAAACTGACATGGCGAAGTTCAATTTCTCCCTTCACATTTTCTATAGTTGTTCCAGATTCATCACTAGAGTCTATTTTTGATTTCCGGTCAAGAATGGCAAATATGGAAGCAGCAGAGCTCTTTACTTTACCAAGATTAGGGGCTAGGGAACCTGACTGAGACACTCCAATAGCTGTCATCGCGAGAGCAAAGAAAACCTGCAAACCAGGGAAATGTTAACAATCGACTGAATGGACTAATGAAGATTTAATTCTCAAGTAACACATATTTAGCAGACTTCGGATCCTCTGCTAATGTTTTCTCATCTATTTACTTACTTGAAAAATTGTAGCACAAGGCATAAAAACTTACCCGGAAAACGTCAGAGAATGTTGTCTTGCCTGCTGCGACAAGTCGGGCTCCAGCATAAAAACTGCAGGCATACACAGAAAAAAGAAAAAAGAACGATAGCCCAAAACCTATCCCGCTGATTAACCCTCGTCTTATCCCTGTCTTAATAGGACCTTCACATTTCTTATGGTACAGTTCAATCACCTTCTCTTCAGCACAAAAGGATGCAATTGTTCGAATACTCCCCACTGCATCATTGGCTACTTGACTTGCGTCCTCGTACATTTTCTGCAACAATTTAAAATTTTCAGCATTGACAAAAAGGATTGGTCTTATATATATTATGCATGTCGTATTGGATGGTGTTTTGACTGCACCAGCGACAAGTTCTATACTATAAACTTTTGTAAAGTTTGGACTTTGGAGAAATACCTTTGCATCTGCACTGAATCCTTTCAAGAACTTGACTTGAGCATAACCAGTTAATCCTAATAGAGGCATCAAAACCAGGATTATAAGAGCAAGTTGCCAATTTGCCACAAAAGCAATACACAAACCAGCAATTGCAGTTGCTGAATTCTCAACCAGCAACCCTAGAGCATCTGCAACCACCCCACGCAGAGAAGCTGCATCTGCAGAAAGCCTCGCACCAATTGCACCACTTGAGTGCTCAGGATCGTCAAACCAACTTACTTCCATGTAAACCACCTTCTCATAGCACATTGATCGAACTCGTTTTATTAACTTACAGCCGGCCACAGCAAAAAAGTATTGTCTTGCTGGCATTGCTATGAAAGTTACCACTCCAAGAACAATGAAGATTAATGCCCAAAACTTCGAATCCTTACGGAGTTGAGGAGGTGGCTCGTAGAAGGTCTTGATTACACTGGATATCAATATCGCAAAAATAGGTAAGACTACCCCATTGACTGCTGCAGCTATAGTACCTAGTAATAATACTGGGATCTCTGGCTTGTTCAGGTAAGCCAGGCGCCGAAGTGAGACTTCTGGAGGCACTCTTGATGATGCTGAAGCAGGAATATCACGTCCTGCAGATGCTGTTTCAAGAGAATCGACTGCAGTGGGCACACCGTATGAGATTGAGAAGGAATGACGGTTACTATTTCCTCTTCCAGATGATCCCTGGCTTATGGATCGTAAGTTTGAAAATCTTTGACTTGAATGTCTTCGAGAATCCACGCTGCTAAGCGTTTCGTGATCAATTACAGCAGTCTGTTCTGACACGCTGCTCATTTCTTGCAACCTTATAAGCTGGCTATATGCTCCTTCGGGGTCCTTAATTAGCTCAGAATGTGGACCTGCTCAGTTGAAAACGATCAGTATGTGCAATACCCATGGAATAAGAATAAGATGAATTGTAACATTATGTTGAACTATAGACAATACGATTTGGCCTTCAAATGGCAGAACAGGACAACATAAATAAATGCATTACCTTTTTCAACAATTGTTCCTCGATGTATAACAGCAATGGTGTCAGCATTCCTTACTGTGCTCAAGCGGTGGGCTACAACGACAGTAGTCCGGTTGATCATAATTCTGTCCAGTGCCTCCTGCACAATGCTCTCAGATTCTGCATCAAGAGCACTCGTGGCTTCATCTAAAAGCAGAATCCTTGGGTCTTTGAGAATTGCTCTAGCTATTGCAACTCTCTGCTTTTGGCCTCCAGATAGCTGAGTTCCATGCTCACCAACCATTGTATCTAGTCCCTAAATGCATAAATCAGAAAACCACAAATAAGAAAAAAGGAATTGAATGAGTTGATAGAAATAATCCGAGTTTTTTGAAAATTCATGTGATATCTCTATATTTCCATCTTTGAAAATAATAAGATCACTGGATGTCTCAATAAGCTTCCACGGTCGTGGAAATTAAGAATTCACACAAAAAGTTTAGAGAACAAAATACCAGAACTTGGATGAAAGTTTAAATGAATTTAACCTGCGGCAGTTTGTCAATGAATTTAGCAGCATTGGCAAGGTCAGCAGCAGCCCTTATTTCTTCAGTGGTTGCACCATCCTTTCCATAGGCAATATTATCTTTAATGCTACAAGTAAATAAAACGGGTTCCTGGCTGACAAGGCCTATTTTCTGTCTGATCCATTTCAACTGGAACTCTTTGAGATTAATACCATCAATAAAAACTTCGCCAGCTAGGGGGTCATAAAACCTCTCAATCAAACTGACTACAGTTGATTTACCACTTCCACTCTCTCCAACCAAAGCAGCAGTTGCACCACTAGGTATTGAGAGAGAAAATCCATGGAATATTTGTTCATCCGGTCTTGCAGGATAACTAAAATAAACATCCTTAAGTTCTATGTCTCCACGGATATCATGTAATTGTTTCCCATTAGTGTCAGAAGCATCAATCTCTGGCTTTCTGTCAATTGTCTCAAACATCTTATAAGCTGCAGCTTGTCCAGCAGCAAATGCACTCAAGCATGGAGATGCCTGCCCAAGAGACCTGAAAATTTATCATAAAAACATTGTTATATCTCTATCTTCTGAAGAATCTCATATCAAATTTTGGACCGAGGGGGGAGGGGGAGTAGTAAGTAGATCAAGTAAAAATGCAAACACTAGTACAATAGTACTAGGATCAACAAATTTGTTCATTAAATTTTACTGAAATGCAACTTACATGGAACCAGTCAACACAGCGAAAACTACATTGATGACTTCCCCTCCTGTATATCCTTTTTCAAGTATCATCTTTCCTCCAAACCATATAGCCAGAGCATAACTACACATCAT